CAACGTCCAAGCATTTAATTGGACGAATTTTTTAGTCTTGAAATGTTTATCCAATTAAATGCTTGGACACTGGACATTGTCCAATGTCCAAACATTGTTCAAATTGCTTTTTTTTTTTTTTTAGCTCTTTATAAAATAAATTTTTCTCTTTCGCTTTAAAACAGTAAAATGTGAAGTTAGTATTTAGGTGAGATTTTAGCTCTAGTAGCTATTCTTGTCTATTTTATTTTATTTTGTTCTCTTGTTTACTAACTTTATTCTTTCAGGGCATGAAATAAAGCATTGGAACAGCATGTTGAAGTGAAATTTTAATTTTTAGTTTTCCTTCTTTGTCTTTTTTTGCTAATTTTTTTGTCAATTAATCTCTTATTTTCTTCTTTAGGTTTGCCGGGCATGAAATTAGCTGTTTTTTGTCACTAAGCTTATTATTATCTTCTTTCTTTAGGTTCGCTGGTTTGCAAATCAGTACTGGGATAGTAATTTTCTTTGCAGTTTTTTTTCATTACCATAAACTGCTAGATACAAGATCCCCTATATATTAGACCCACCCACATTTTTTACTAACTAATTAATTTTTTTGGTAGAATGTAAGAGATCCGGGTCTTTTATCCGGCAGTTTATGGTACTTTCTTGTTTACTAAATCATTTTCTACTTTTCTTAAGTTTGTCAGATCAAGACAAATTCTGTGATTTAATATGATAAAATTTTTGTAGTAACATTTATAATTTCTTTGCAATTCTGTGGTATCGTATTGTAATTTCTGTAATCTAATGCGATTATAAATTTTTTCAAAACAGCTAATTTCAGCAAACATGCTCGTAATTTACGTTGATTTATTGTTTACCTTTATGGCATTTCCTAATACCAGCTTGAATTTATTATTAGATCCTGCAATATATTTTAAATTCTATGATATTCTGCATATTTTTTGGAATTCTTTGATATTCTGTAGTGACTAAGGGTGATTCTGTGGTTGGCTGTGATTAAGAGAAATTCTGCTGTTTTCTGTGAATCACAGAAAATTATTGGCCCTGTTTCTAGCTTCTTTTCATTGTGGTTAGTTATTTTTCTTGCTTTATTCTCCTTAGATTCGCCGGATCGTAAAATCATCAAGGTGGTAATGTAAGTTTGTGATTTCTAGTTCTTTTGTGTTGGGTTTACTAACTTTATTATTCTCTTTCTTAAAGTTCTCCAAGTCACTAAATCAGCATTGGGGGATTGCAAGTAGGTGAGTTTGTAGTAGTTTTTTGTATTTGGATTTTTTTACTATTTCTTGTTCACTAACATTATTATTCTCTCTTTTTGTTAGATTCTCTGGGTTGTTAAATTAACTTTAACTCTAATTCTAACCTAACTCTAATGATATTGACCAGAATTACTTTCTTTGTAAAATGAGCTTTGGTGAAATAAACTGCCGGTGAAATAAACTTGTTGGTAAGTAATTGTCAGTGTCTATGAAATGATTGTCGGTGAGTTGATGAGATCCCTTTGATATTAGCGGAGGTAGCAAAAAAGATCCTGTTTAGGGACTTTTAACCAACTAGGTATAAAAGATAATCGCACATTTAGTACATAATCATTGACAAGTCGGATATTTTAAATTTAATAGCGGTTACTTCAGACAAACTAGACTTTTAAAAATGTATTATAGATAAACAAAATAAAGGTTCTTTAGTTTTAAATCCTATCGTTCAATATTTTCATCTAATTTATGTTGATTCTCTTTTTAACCTTTATTCTACCTGATGATAAAGTCGAATAAGCATAAAACATAAATTAATAGTACAATAGCGCATAAAACCTAAATGAATAATGAGATAACGCATATGAATAGAGCAATAACGAGTTTGGGTCAAACCCCGACAAACAAAATCCTGGCAAGATCAAAATCCTAACAAGTTAGCCTGTATTAGGTTAGCATTGGATTCTGTTTGTCAATGATTTTGAGCGATAATGCATAAAACCTGATTAGTGAGCTAATAATGCATATAAAGCGAAGCCTTATCTGGTCCAAACTCTGACAAGTTAGCCTGCATTAGATTCTGTTTGTCGGGACTTTGACCCAAATCTGAATAAAATCTGATGAGTTGAGCTGATAATGCACATGTAGTATATGAGTGCTGTCAATAGAAAACCTTCATTGGGTTTTCAATGTTCAGTTGGCTTTTTGTATACTGTCTATGGACAATCTATCATTGGAATAGATTGCTCATAGATAGCATGCAGAAAGCCAACTGAATATTGAAAGCCCGATGACAGGTTTTCTATTGATAGCACTCACCCTGTAAGAAATTTTATCTAAATATCTCAATATTTTTTGCAACATGGCCGACAAAATATAGACAAACCGAGTAATCTTCATAATTTAAGATTATAACCTCCGTGAATATGCAACATTTACAGAAAAAACATGGAATATAAAACATGAATCGACTTTTTTTTATAGAATCATAATGCAAAGCTGAAGCCTTTATTAATAACACATAAAACCTAAATAGAGTGATAACCTGACAAACAAAATCTTGGTAAGGTCAAAATCCTAACAAATCAGCTCGCATTAGGTTAGCATTGAATTCTGTTTTTGATCCAAATCCGAGAGATAACGCATAAAATCTGATTAGTTAAGCTGATAACACGTGCAAAGCTGAAGCCTTGTTTGTTTTCTTATGAATAACACGATGGGTCAAAATCTTGACAAACAAAACCCTGGTAAGGTTAAAGCCTGACAAGTTAGCCCATATTAGGTTAGCACTAGATTCTATTTGTCGGTAATTTTGATCCAAACCTGAGCGATAACACATAAAACCTGATTAGTGAGCTAGTAACGCATATAAAGCAGAGCCTTATCTGTTTCTAATGAATAGCACATAAAATCTAAATGAATAGAGCGATAATGGATTGAGTTCAATTCCTGACAAAGCAAGGTCAAAACCCTAACAAGTTAGCCCACATTGGATTCTGTTTGTCAGGATTTTAACCCAAATCCAAATAAAATCTGATAAGTTGAGCTAATAACGCGCATGTAACATATGAGTACTGTCAATAGAAAACTTTCATTGGGCTTTCAATGTTCAGTTGGCTTTCTGTATGCCGTCTATGGATAATCTATTATCGGAATAGATTGCCCATAGATAGCATACAGAAAGCCAACTAAATATTGAAAGCAGGATGACAGGTTTTCTATTGACAGCACTCACTATGTAAGAAATTTTATCCAAATATCTCCATTATTTTTCTATATTTTTTGTAAAATCTGCAATATGATCTAGACAAGCCGGATAATCTCCATGATTTAAGATTATAACCTCCATGAATATGCAACATTTACGGAAAAAACATAGAATATAACACAGATCGACTTTTTTATAGGGTCATATGATGCAAAGCTAAAGCCTTGTCTGTTTTCTCATTAATAATGCATAAAATCTAAATAGAGCAATAACCTAGCAAACAAAATCTTAGTAAGGTCAAAATCCTGACAAGTTAGCCCGCATTGGATTCTGTTGTCGGGATTTTGACCCAAATCTGAATAAAATCTAATGAGTTGAGCTGATAACGCACATGTAACATATGAGTGCTGTCAATAGAAAACCTTTCATTGGGCTTTTAATATTCAGTTGGCTTTCTGTATGCCGTCTATGGATAATCTATCATCAGAATAGATTGCCTATAGATAGCATGCAGAAAGCCAATTGAACATTAAAAGCCTGATGACAGGTTTTCTACTGACAGCACTCACCCTGTAAGAAATTTTATCTGAATATCTCCATTATTTTTGTAAAATCTGACAAAATCTAAGCCGAATAATCTCCATGATTTAAGAATATAAAATATGAATCAACTTTTTTTAGAAGGTAATGCTGAAGCCTTATCTGTTTTCTCATGAATAATGCATAAAACCTAAATTGAGCAATAACGGATTTGGCTATCAAACAAAATCTTGATAAGGTCAAAATCCTGACAAGTTAGCCACATTGGATTCCGTTTGTTAGTGATTTTATCCAAATCCAAGGGATAATATATAAAACCTAATTAGTTGAGCTGATAATGCATGTAAAGCTGAAGCCTTATCTGTTTTCTTATAAATAACGCATAAAATCTAAATTGAGCGATAACGGGTTTGGGTCCAAAATCCTTTCAAACAAAACCTTAATAAGGTCAAAATCCTGGCGAATTAGCCCACATTAGATTAGTATTGGATTCTGTTTGTTAGTGATTTTGATCCAAATTCGAGTGATAATATATAAAACCTGATTAGTTGGGCTGATAATGCGTATAAAGCTGAAGCCTTATCTGTTTTCTCATGGATAACACATAAAACCTAAATTGAGTGATAATGGGTTGGGTTCAAATCCTAACAAACAAAATCCTAGCAAGATCAAAACCTGACAAGTTAGCTTGCATTAGATTAGCATTGGATTCTGTTTGACCTAACCCAAGCAATAATGTATATGTTAAGAATAATATATATATAGTTCATAAGTTTACCTTTCTTACAACTGTATAAAGATTGAAAATTTTAATAAATAACCCAAGAACATTTTTTTCTCATTAATGTGATGTTAATCTTTCATTAATAATTAAAAAATTATACCCTGCCAAATAAACTTGTGTTTGGTGCTAAAATTTTTTTTTTAAGAAAAAAGAATATACCTACAGTATAAATTCGTTCTTTTTTTAAAACAGCTAAATTAAAAAAAAATAAAGTAGTAATGGATTTGTTAGAACCTTATATTATTAGAAAAACAGAGGAAAAGATCAATAAAAGTAATTATAAGGTTTATTGTAAGGCATGTGTCGATACATTGGGCGAGATTGATGGGGTGAAAGTTTTTTTCTAAATAAAAAGGATAGAATAGTTTCGCATCTCAGAAAATGCATAAATTTTTCAAATTGTACAACACCTGAAGAGAGAAAAAAAGTCTTTGACTTATTCAATAATGAATCAACTAAGAATAAGTTTATTTAAGTTACAGTATATAAAATACTATATATTAATATGTTCTCTCCAGGTTCTCCATATGATGCTATGACTACCTCATCGCAATCATCTACCCGAAAGCTTATTGTACGATCTTCCTCCTTTGGCCCACTTGACAATTACTCTATTCGCCTATTATCACAAGAGGATTATAAAAAATTTAAAGTCCTTTTGTTAAGGCTTACTGTTGCTTGTAGTTGGGCTTTTAATTGGGTGGGTAAACCAGAAGCATGTGAGTTGTTTGATTTTTTAAACTCTCTTATAAAGCTTCCAGACCATCGGACTCTTAGTGGTTCAACTTTAAATATTGCTGTTTCTGAATATGATATGGGAATGCATCAAGCTCTTCGTGAAGATTCAGTTGGTATTACTCTTACATTTGATAGTTGGACAAATGTTAATAATGAACAGTTAATGGGTGTAATGATAGTAACTTCAGAGGGAAAACCCTATGTATGGAAAGCAGTGGATATTAGCTTGGAGAGGGACAATCATATTAGAGTAATGGAAAAAATGGAAGATATGGTTAATGAATTAAAGGATATAAATGTAAAAGTCATTGCAATTGTTACAGACAGTGCAGGGTCATATGCTGCAGCTAGGTATTTTTTATTTTTTCATCTTATTTATATTATTAAGTTATACAAGTTAAATGAAAACATGCTTGTAGTTGACTATTATTTATTAACTTGACTAAGTTGATATTTAAAAATCAGCTTAGCTGGCTAAATATTCTAAATTCTATTGATTAAATAAATTTTAGAAATTATCAGAGATATTCTCAAATTTTGTCTCTACCTTGCTTGTATTTTATGTTTATTGAAAATTTTAATATAATCTATATAACCTATCATTTATAAAATTGACTAAGCCGATTTTTTTAATAATCAGCTAACTATAATAGAATATATCAAATCTATCTTGTCACTTTGCCAAATACTTTCATCACTTATGAGTTATAAGCTGGCTAAGAATTTATCAACTAATACAAAATTGACTACAAGTATTACAAATCAGGCTACAACTAGCATAATGTAATCCTAATATAAACCTTATTTGAAACAGATATTTAGCAAAAATAGAAGACCTTTAAGATACTAATAGTATTCATATTGGTATTCAATACATATTGGAATACCAATAGCTCTATAGGTAAATCGATAAAGCTATTTATCAATTTACCAATTGAGCTATTAGCATCCCAATATATATTGAATATCTATATAAACACTTAGTATTCTAAAGGTCTTCTATTTCCGCCAAATATCCGTTTCAAATAAGGTTTATATCAGGATTATATTATGCCGGTTGGAGCTTGATTTGCCTTCATTCAACCTGTATTATATACTATATATATTTATATATTTTTATATTAATATTAGACAAAGATTGAGGCTAAATTATAGAGATATTGTATTTCTCCCCTGTTATACCCACTAGTTAAACCTGTGTATAGATGAAGTTTTTAAAGAATCAACTGATTTGAAAAGTACAATAGATAAAGCAATTCAGTTAGCCATATATTTTAAGAATGCAAATAACAAATATTTTATTGGTCAATTATGTAATCAACAAAAAATAATCTATAATAAGTATTTTAGTATAGTAGTTCCAAGTGAAACAAGATGGAATAGCTATTATTTACTTGTAACTAGCCTTTTAAGAACCAAACGAGCACTACAAGTATGTATATTCATACAATTTAATGAATTAGCTTATACAGTATACTATATATTTGATCTTTATAATGCAAATTTTTTTTTAAAATTTACTTTGTTTATCATGATTTGAGTAATTATTACAACTTTCTTGTAATTATCTGCAATTATTGTGATATTTTGGTTATTCGTATTTAATATCATCATAAATTGATTATCAATACATAAAATCGAGTTAAAGTGCAGTTTAACTGTATATAAAATTAGAAAAATAAATTAACTAAGTTACTGTATTTTTAAAACTCTACTTTTTTTAGATACTTGCAATAAATTTTCAACTATCCTATTCTCAAAATTGACAAAAACCTGGTGAAAATCTTACAATTCATTCTGAAATTTTTCAAATTATTGACTCGGATTTATTTTGGTCAAATTTAGCAATAATTGCAGATATTCTATATCCTTACTGTAAAATACTAAATATTTTACAATGTGATAATGCAAGATTAATACAGGTTATACACAATATCGCATATTTAGTTCAATTTTGGAATAATCATGCTGACTTTGAACTTTCTAAGAAAATATTAACCAGATTAGAGAAAAGGTGGAATAACTGGGAACAACCACTTCTTATTTTAGCATATTTACTACACCTTGCATATCGATTAACATACTTTAAAGATAAATCGGTAATTAATTATCCAAAATTAAGAAAGTATTTAATTTATTACTACAAAGCCTGGTCGGGAAAAGCTCCTACTTGCATTTTGAGTGAATATAATGATTTTTATAAAAAAGTTTATCCATTTGATGATGATTCTTTTAACCAATTCAAAGGTGATGTTTTAAGTTTTTGAAATTTTGTTAAACCTTTAACAAATGAATTAGGATTAGTAGCATGTCGATTGTATGGGATTTGTGTTAATGCTGCTACTGTTGAGCGTTTATGGAGTTGTATGAGCTTTATTCAAACTAACTGAAGAAATCGACTACTTGTAATTTATTTTATTTTTTTTTATTTTTTTTTACAGCTGTTTTTAAAAATACTAAGACTAGTGATATAACTCACCCAAGTTTGCCAGGGCAAATATAGTTAAATAATAAGACACCTGCTACCTTAATACCAATTTGTTACATATTTTATTTTAAGAAATTTCGCAACAAAGCTGCAAGACAATTCAACAATTTTTTCTCTACGTCAAAATCTTCACTCTGTATCACAGACAGATAAATTAGCTTTATTACATTGTATTGCTTCTAATCTTCATATGATTTATTCTCAAGGACTTATTTGCATAGCAGTAATATTTTACAAAACAATTTACATAGCAGACTTGGGTCTTTTAATAATGACTAATGGTTGCCTTGTCAAACTTATATAACCCAAACTATTATATCCCAAACCATGTATTATATAGAAATAAGGATAAAAGCTAATTATTACATAGTTTGGGACATCCCAAATAGTTTGGTTACATCTATAATTAAGACATATAAACGGTAAGTTTGACTACTGATAGTATCAATTTAATTTGATTTCATGTTTCAAATCCGAATATCCGGTCACTAAATTTATTATTTATCAATTTGAAACTAACCCAAATTTTTTTTGCCTCTATTCTCTGGCAATATAACATCTAACCTATTTTCCTACTATATTTGCTTGATTTCTTTAATTTCGCAAATACACCGTAATGACAATGATCCATCTAGTTCTTTTATTTCAGAGGAGGTATATTTTATTAATGATAAAATATCTTGTATTACAATATACTTAGTCTAAATATCTTGATTAATGCATATTTTATTTATTCAGCATATTTAGAATATATCTGTTATGATAATTTGAAAACAGCTATAAAATTTTTTTTTTTTTTTATCATTAAAAATCACCAGGGTGAATTTCACCAGATGTTTTGTCTTAAAATTAGACTTTGGGTCAGAGTTAGCATCCAAATTAAAGTTAAAGGTTAGGTTTTTTAGGGTGTTAAACATTTTTACTTAGTATTTCAAACACCAATTACTAAAGCTTTTTTGAAAAATAGCATACCTGGTGAATTTCACCTCTGGTGAATATTAAAATCGTTCTTTTTTTTTCATTAAAAATAAATTCTTATTTAGTCGCCAAAGGTTCTTAGTATGTGCAAATTAAAAGCTGCTATCGCATGAGAGCATTCACGCAGATCAACCCCCTGTTGAATTATTCCCACTCAGTTTTCAAGATGAAAATAAAAATAAAAATGTTACAGAAAATAAAGACCAACCGAATATACCAAATATAAGTTATGAAGAATCAAGTGAAGAACTCAATGAATTTGTGGAGGATGAAACCAATGAGACTTCGGAGTTAACTTCTTTGGAAGAGTTTGGTCAATTTTTAGATATATGGATTGAAATATCGACAAGTAAGATTGAAGAAATTACACAAATATATGAAGATGAAGAAGAGATACTTACTTCGGAGGTTGAGGATATTGATCATCTGGCAGTAGATCCAAATTCTAAATAGGATTTAAGGACTCTATTCAATGAATTACCATTGTCTTCTTTTTAGTATATATACATATATTTTATATATATATTTTTTATATATTTATTCTTTATTTATTTTTTTTATTTATTTTTTTATTTATTTTTTATTTATTATTATATATTATTGTTATTATTTTTAAACGAGGCTTTATATCAATATTTGGATAAGCATAAAAGTTTCACTATTTTATAGATTGTAATTTTCCTTAACAATATTAATGACTAGTAAAATCAAAAATATTGAAACCAGGTACTGTAAACACATTATTGATATCTTGTACTATGATCTTTTGTTATACGGAATTCAATATTCACAAGGGTAATTCAATTTAATATTAAATAGGATCTTTGAAATGAGTATTATTTGTCATTTTCGGTTTGGTAAGTCTCACAATTATTAATATACTATGAGTGTCACCAAGGGAAAGCCAACCACTCTAACAAATATATGGCTTTATACATGTCAATAATTCCAAAGAGGTGGTGGATGTTCCGGGCACTACAGGAGTTTTGGAATTTATTTTTGTTTAATTTTTCGTCTAAGTTCTTAAGTAGGTTTTCAATATCATCTAGTAAGTTGTTTCTATATAATATTGATTATTCAAATTATTAATATTTTAAATCTGTAATTAAGCTTTTTATTTCACCTTTAATATACAAAAATCGAATCAATTTTATATATAGGTATTAATATTTAATCGACACTATAACAGTCAGATTAAAATTATAAACAGATTTTTGGGGCTTATTTTTTTCCGATTGATAAATGTTCTTAAAAGGTTTAATAAATGTATCATTTTCTTAGAATGAATTCAAAACATATTATTTTTTTAATATTACTAGTGGAGTTTCAACGTTTAAAAATCTATTTGTGAAATGGGTGATGATGACGTAAGGTCTAGATACTTAACTGCTATTATATGTACATAAATAAATGAATTAAATTTATTTCATGAAATAAGAGCCTCCAAACACTCTCATTATATGATTATTCATATCACAAATTCGCCTCTTACTTATTTCCGAAATTCATTAGCTTTAAGACCCCAATGTACAATTTTTAAGGCGACATTAAATCTGCAAGCCACTCTTTTATAATACATTGGTTGTTTAATGTAAATAAATTACTTAATTTTTTATTATGAATTTTTCATGATTGCTTAATATAAATACTCAATTTGCATAATCAATATAATCATAGTTTTGTAGAAATTGCATAAATGATGTAGTCATAGGTTGGTAATTAATTTGAAAAGGGATAAGTAAAGAGATAATATAAATAGCACAAAATCCAATTAGTAAAAGATATCTGTTCTTGCACAAGTCAATAAAATACATAAAACCATTTTACTGTGAATTCTTCACTTGTATGTACATATTCAATAAGTCACTAAATAAATAATAAATAACACCTACAAATAAGTTAATAAACACAGTTAATCCTGCGCATAAATGGATAAAAAGCTTTAGAGTTAAACCATATACGTCTCTGATACCCTAAAGCGAAGCTCTAAACCATCGGTCTAGGTATTTTTTTACCTATCTCTAATTAACCCCTGCGACAGTTTCAAATAGTAATCAGCAAAAGGTCTTCGTCCAGTTGAAAAATTTTGATATTACGACTTCAAAACCATAAGTATTAGCTGCTTGTGTGAAAGATCCTAGTTCTGATGCCGAATAAATAAACAAGTTGAAGAGATTTTTTAAAGATGTAATAAAATTCAATTTTTCTTATATCTCATATACAGCTATATAAGTTGAAGTTTTATAATATTATAACAGACATTGGACAATGTCTGCCGGACATTGTCCAATATCCAAACATTTGATTGGTCAATTTGTTTTGTGACTATAAAAATTATAGCGGATATTAGACAACGTCCGCTGGATATTGTCCAATGTCCAAACATTTGATTGGTCAATCTTTGTGCCAATAAAATTATGGCGGACATTGTCCAATGTCCAAGCATTTGATTGGTCAATCTATTATTGTAACAATAAAATTATAACGAACATTGGACAACGTCCGCAGGACATTGTCCAATGTCCAAGCATTTGATTGGTCAATTTAAATGATTTTTTTTGAAACTGTCAGACCACGGAAAACTGTAAAGTGTACTTTATTTAATATAACTGACAAAAAATTTATTCACAAAATGATCATTTGTCTCGATGAGACAAATCGATAATACAATTAATTTTTTGTGACATCTATTTTTATATAACTATACTGTTTACTTATTTGAAGAAAATTATATATTGCTAAAATTAGGGTTAGGGTTAGAGTTTAGAGTTTAGGGTTAGGATTAGAGCAGGTAGGGTAAAATCATGAGAGAGGCATTTTTGCTTAGGGCTGCCCTAATAAAATTTTGAGTTATTGTAGAATTATTGAATACAGCTACAATAAATTAATTCTAATTTTATTATTTTAATTTATTCTTTTTACATAAAACATTCAAATTAAGTATTAATCGTATTTTTAAAGCAATTATTTCAATAATCTAAATATTGATGTAGAATAAATAATAAAATTGTTTAACATAATTTAATTGGGTTTGTCAATATCCCAAAGATACTAAATTCTGATACACTAAATCCTGAAAGATCAAAATCCCGGAAGTATATCCTTAAAGATCATAATCCTGAAAGATTATGATCCTAAAAAATCACAATCCCGAAAGAACATAATTCTGAAAGGTCATAATTCTGAAAAGTCATAATCTTGAAAAGTCATAATCTCGGAAGGTAATTGTGATTTTTTAAGGCTATAACCTTCCGGGATTATGACTTTTAAGAATTATGACCTTTTAGAATTATGATCTCTGAAGATTATGATCTTTCGGGATTGTAATTTTTCAGGATCGTAATCTTTCAGGATTATGATATTATACTTTCAGGATTTTGATCTTTCAGGATTTAGTATACCAGAATTTAGTATCTTTGGGATATTGACATGAACCCAGTTTATGCCAAAAACTTCAAAAGAATCATAATAAGCATAATTAGTTCTCAATAAATAAATAAATACACATGTATGTAATTTTTAAATAAATACCTTTAATTGCACTTGATATTCTCTAAGCATTTAATATATATAAAATCAGGACTTTTGGGTGAGTTAATTGGCCTATTTATCTACAACTAAAGCTTCTTAATTTCATTCGTGTTGTGTTCTAATTTTATTCATCTTCTTGTAGATCAGAATTCTTGCGCTTTTTAGCTAATTTAAGCCACAACCCAGCACAAATCTTTGTCACAAAATGGAAAGGTCTTGTTTCTCTGATATATTAATGCCAAAACCATAAATATACTTTTGATCTCTGGAATAACACACGAAATGACTTCATAAATACCATCTAAATTGTTTCATTATATTTTGAAACAATTCTAGATCTGAAATATGAATACTGCAAAGAGAAAGTGAGACTTCGGGCTTTCAAATTTATCATTAATTATTTATTGGATTCAGCCCATAAAAAATTTGATAGATAAAAGGTGTGGCGACTTAGTGTAGTGGTCTAGTCGTCACCCTCTCCAAGTGGCAGGTCTAGAGTTCAAATCCCACGGATGACGAATTTTGAAAAATAGCCTGTGCTACGGTTTACGGTTGTCAATTATCGGTTGGATCTAGAAATCTGTAATC